TTCATCAGATTTAGAAAACTGCAGCCATGACTTCTTCTAATGTTTTTCTCTTTTCCCTTTACTACTTAACATTGTTTCACAAATCACTACGTTTTGGTTCATTTTCTCCAGTCTTTTTTTCTCTTTATACTTCAGATTAGACAGTTTCTATTATGTTTTCATGTTGACTGATGTTTTGTTTCACCAGCTATTAATCTTCTATTAAGTGTATTCAAATACTGTGTTTTTTAGTTCTTGAAAGATTTTTATGTCATCCATTTCTTGTGTCATTGTGTCCATGTTTTCCTTTAAATCCTTGAGAATAATTGTAATAGCAATTTAAGAGCCCTTGTTGCTAATTTTATTATTCCTGCCATTTCATCCACTGATGGATTTTTATGAAAGTTATGCGTCATGTTCCTCAGAATCATCACATGTCCAGTAATTTTTGATTGGATGCTGGGCATGCAGTTCTAGATTTTGTTGTTTTCCTTTATAGAGAACTTACTCTGGCTATTGTTTCAGTGACTTGTGGATCATATTTGTTCTTCAGAGGCTTGTTTTTAATCTTTGTTAGGGGTAATCTAAGGTACATTTTACTCTGTGGCTAGTTTAGTCCTAAAACTGAAGCATGGTTCTTCTCTGATCTCTAGTGAATGTCCCAGGGGACCAATCAGGACTCTTTACCTCTTTAGTCTTGCTTGTCAAATCATGAACATCTCCCAGCCCTTTGTAAGATTGGCCATTTTATTTTTGCCTGGCTTAGTGGTCTTTCATGCTATACACTTGGCTTATCCTATATAATAAAGAGGCAATATGCAAATTGACTGTCACACCCTTGCACAAGATGGCCACCCCCATGTGGGCACAAGATGGCTGGCAGGAGAGGGCAGTTAGGGGCGACCAGGTCAGCAGGGGAGGGCAGTCAGGGGTGCCCAGGCTGGCAGGGGAGGGCAGTTAGGGGCAACTTGGCCGGCAGGGGAGGGAAGTTAGGGTTGACCGGGCTGGCAGAGGAGGGCAGTTAGGGGCAACTGGGCTGGCAGGACCAGCAGGGGAGGGCAGTTGGGGGCAATCAGGCCTGCAGGGGAGCAGTTAGGCATCAATCAGGCTGGCAGGGGAGTGGTTAGGGGGTGATCAGGCTGCAGGCAGAAGCGGTTAGGGGCAATCAGGCAGGCAGGCAGGCAGGCAGGCGAGTGGTTGGGAGCCAGCAGTCCCAGATTGTGAGAGGGATGTCCCAGATTGGAGCGGGTGCAGGCTGGGCTGAGGGACAACCCGCGCCCCCCCCCCCCCCCCCTGCACGAATTTTGTGCACTGGGCCTCTAGTTGTTCAATAACAGACCCACAGATTCATATATATCGTTCTCTGCAGAGCTTCCTCTTGGTTGATACTCTACTCCATAAATTATAGTTGCTTCAATTCTCTAAACCAGGGGTCCTCAAACTATGGCCCGCGGGCCACATGCAAATACAAATATTGTATTTGTTCCCATTTTGGTTTTTTACTTCAAAATAAGATATGTGCAGTGTGCATAGAAATTTGTTCATAGTTTTTTTTAAACTATAGTCGGGCCCTCTAATGGTCTGAGGGATAGTGAACTGGCCCCTGTTTAAAAAGTTTGAGGACCCCTGCTCTAAACTTTGATAGTATCTCCTCAGCTCAGGGTGTCAGTGCTATGCTTGGGTTACTGCTTTCTGTATTATGATCTGAAAAGTGCCCCCTGGAAGAAAGCTGAGTCAATTGCAGGAATAGAGAGCTTATCTCTCCCCCAACCAACAGAAAGGGGCAGAACTGCCGTCAGTTCTGTAGATACAGGATTAATTTGGTAAAACCCAAGTCCTGTGGCATTTTGGGAAAAAGAAATAGCTCATCTTTTTTCCCCCTCTAAATCATACCAGAAAAGGTAATAGACAAAGGTAGTCATCTTTTGAAGGGAGCATTTGTTAGGTACAAGATTTTCACCTCTCCCCCTTTACCATTATTGCCAATTAATGGCAGACCCAAATGCAACCTACGAATGGGAACGTAACAATGTAAAGCTTCATACAGCTCTTGTAACAATTATAACTGAATAGAGAATACATATGATTAGCCCCTGGGCATGAGGGCCACTGTTTAAAGGCAGGGCTTTCACGCTTACAGGGTGGCAGATGTTTCTGCTGCACCCTGTGACAGCTATCTGAGATCTCAACATTTCCAAAGTTATCACAATGAACTGGGCATTCATAATACCCGAGAGCAGTTCTCACCCTGGAACATTCTAGCATCACCAGGGCATGCCTCTGGCCCACACCAATGAAGTCAGATGCTGGCAGTGGTGCTTGGCTATCGATATTTTTAGTAAAGACCTCAGGTGATTCTAAGAGGAAGCTAGATTTAAGGACCATTCTCTTAGACTGTTAGTCCACATGAAACTGGACAGCAGAGGAGAATATAGAGAGTTTTAATGGTTTTCCTGACCTTCTGCATGGGCTCCTTTTGTCTCCCTTAACATTTTTTTTTTGCCCTGTTTAAATCTACCCACCCCACTATGTCTGCATCACATTTCTTTTCTTGAGAATAATCCATCAATTCTGTAAATGAAATGCTCAAATGGGACATGCTCTACAGCCTAGGACTTTCTGGTGATTTAATTATCTAATTACTGAAGCCGGCTGCCAAGCACAAAAGATTTCATTCAATTTCACTATTTTATAACACAGTTCAAAGAACATTTGAACTTCTAATTCAATTTTTGTTCTTTTGAGACTATTCTACAGAGTTTCGCGTGTCTCTAATGACAACTCCATTACTGGACTTGTAACCACTCTGGGGTTGTCATTTATTTTTGGAGTATAGAATACATATGCTGACGGAGAAACTGGCGCTCAGATGGCTTAATTCTTCTGAACTCTTTTTGTCTTACGTAGCCTCCCCTGACGGAAAAGACAGAGGCTTGACAGGAAGGAAAGCTAATGGAGACCCAGAGGATACAAAGACTGAGGTAGAAGCGACAGCAGCCAGGCGAAGAGGCAAAGTGCTTCTCTTTCCTCATGTGTCTGCTCTTGAGAACTGCAAACACTTCTAAGCTCAAGAGGATGTCTGCTCACTGTTCTTTACACCCCAAAGCCAGAAAAGCTGCGCAGTTCTGGGCAATAAAGAAACTTGTGTGGTTAAGACAGCATTCCCAGACCTTGACTAGAGAGCTGCTTTGTTTGAGAAGCTATGATTCTGCAACTGAGCCTCCACGGTTCAAGGGTTGAAAGGAGTGGCAAGCTGTGGGAGACTCCTTCCAGCCAGCCAGAGGACCAAACAATACCAGCCACCACCAGGGTGATGTCACAGCCACACACATCACAATCTTGGTATCAAATTTGCCACACTTCAGCGATGTTTCAGAAATTCCACCCCTGCCCTCAAACCAACAAATGTTCACTTTTGAAAGCACTACCATACAAACAATACATTTAAGAATATTTTCTCTTGAGTGTCCATTAGGGAAAGACAATTTCCAAATGGCCAGCAGGTGGCGCTACAAGGAAGGGGCAGTGTGAGAAGGGGCTTGTCCTCCATAAACCACAGGTAAGAACCTGGGGGAGGACATACCCTCTCTGCCCTGCACAAGTGTTGCTTGGCTTGCAGAGTACCATTGGCCTTTAATTATTTTCCAACATTCTACAGATGAACACAGACATTTTACTTAAAAACCCCTGTATTTCCTGATTCTCTAGGGTTGCTGAAATGTCCAGGCACACTGACTGTAATACTGTCAGGTTAAGAGCTGGCTGGAATTGAGTGGTAACTGTCCTTAGAGGGGCCTCTTTGCCACTGTCCCTCCTCCACTTCACTTGCTGAGTTACTCTTGACACTGTGGGCACTGGACTTTGCCACCTGGCACACACCCTCAGCCCAACCCATACATTCATTTCATTGCAGAGTGTCTTTAAAATTGCAAAGCAAGGAGAAGCTAATGCAAAGGATGGGGAACTTCACAGACGACATGATTCATAAAAGTATTCAAATGGATTTGCATGGGACATCCAAGGTGTGTGGGACGTGGCCTGAGAGGCAGAGGCACCTTGGAGGCCTGAGTACGGAGCCATGCTGTCTGGTGTATCAGACCTTACAGTCCGTGACGGGGCCTCTCAAGCCAGCTGCCTCCCTGGTTGAGGAGGCTACACCCCGCTGGCTACTGTGGATGCCACACCGGTGTGGCTGCGCAAGGCTCCTGGGCGGGTCTGTCTTTTACCAGTGTTTGAACTACGAACTCCTCGAAGTCAAGGAGCCAGCTCTCTACCCTCAATGATCAACCTCCTGCCGAAGGCAGGCGGCGTGAGGCTGATACATAAAGCAGACACATGATCTCATGAAGAGGGGCCCCGCCCCAGCTCCTCAGTGCCCACAACCAGGAGATGCATTCACGATGCGATTGGCTCACCGAGATTCGTGCCACGAAGGGTCATTCCCCTCCCGTTTTGGTTCCCATAGAGTGCACACATTCCTCAATAATGGGAAAAGGTAAGGAAAATATTATGGGACACACTATCCAGATAGAATGCAGATGTTTTTCTCCACAAGATCATCCATGATGGCTTCTTTTCCTTATGAATTAATCATCTAGATACCTCATAGGTCCTTGTAAAAAAAAAAAAAAAAAAAGCTCAGCTGACTGTCTCACCACTGGGCCTGCTCACTGGGGGGAAGCAAGGAGCCGGAACACTAAACAGGAAGTCGTCACTGGCTGTTATTATGCTCCATGGGGCTCCTGTGCTCTCCGCTCTCCTCGGAAAAACAGATGTTTAATGGGCTTTTCATGTGTAAAAGCACGTGGAGCTTAAAGAAGTGGCTATCCATTGACTACGGTTGCAGTGGAAGGTCTCGACCAAGATTATGTGTGTGAGGGAGGACACCGTGGCTCACCCTTAGGAGGATGGTGGAAAGAACCCTGGTGGGTGCTGCTGTGGGGCCAGGGGTGTGGGAGGCGGGGAAAGCTGACTTTGGGCAAATAAGACAGAAGCCATCGTCCACAAGGAACAGTCTGTACCTGGAGCTGTCGCATCTGCTGCAGCTGGAGCCGGAGCTCGGCCACATTCCGCCTCATGTCGAGCAGGCTCAGGTGGACGGCCGAGGTGCCGGCGGCCAGGGGCTGGCTGGGTGGCCCCAGGGACTCCAGGGCGCCGAGAGTCTTCCCGCCAGAAACATGGGGAGTTCCTATGAGAAAAGAGCAGCAAAGACCCTAAGAAAGCCAGACAGGAACGGCGAAGTTAAGCTCCACCTCATCACAGACAACTTGACTCTAAAAATACCCATTTCCTTCACTGTGAGAATTAAAAAAAAATTATGCTGGTCCTCTATATGACAAAAGTAAGGAATTAAATTTAAATAAAGTATGGAAACCTCATGTCACATTGCAGCATGCGCTCTTTAACAATCATGTGCTAGAAGCTTAGTGCCAAAGGGAGGCAGATCAGTGCAGTATCTAAAGCAGGAGGCCATGTGGGAAGCTGCCTGTCTGTCCACACAGCTTCTGTGGATATATACAGATGTGCAGAGGAAAGATCAGATGTATCTGGAACAAAGGATTAACAGTATGTCTGGCTTTTGGTATTCCATGAGGTTTATATTACTACTTTTTCTATTTTTAAATCTGCATAGTGAATCTCTGTAATTTTGTAACAGAAAAATAATTTTAAAATTCTGGGACCTAACACAGGATCTCCGTGACTATTTCCTGCAGGCAGGTGTACCCCAAGAACATGCCCTTAGTTCTGAGCAGAGATTGGGCCGATCACGAAGGGAAGACAAATGAGAACTGAGTTTCTTCTGAATCTTTTCAGCTTTCCAGACCGAAAGCAGCAGGACCTCTGCCCCAGTCCTGATGGTGAGAAAAGCAGGCGCGATGCGAGAATTCTTTAGGAGAGGAACCCAGGCAGCAGAAACAGACTCTTCCTCCATAGTTCCTAGCTGCCATAAACGTTGGCTCCTGGAGTCCAACTCAAATAAACCTCATTCACTTTATAAGTTCATCTGGGAAGAGCCTGATTTGACGAAGTTTGCTTTAAAAGGCCTCATAAAGGATCCCAAGTAACACAGGATGAGCAAGGTACAGGAATCAAAAGGAAGTGCTATTTATATATTGTTTAAAGATAACGAATGCAGTTCTCTGGAACAGGCCACCAGAGTAAAATCCTCACAACACCCACACGCACACTCACACCCACACCCACACCCACACTCATACCCACACGCACACGCACACGCACACGCACACCCACACCCACTTCTGAAGGGGCTGAAAACTCTTTCCTGTAAAGGACAAAGTGGAGGGTGTGCCATGGGCTCGGCTGGCCTCCCACCACAGAACCCTGGCATTGCTCTCCTGCCCTGGAATGGCTACAGCCAGTGGTGTCTCTTCCCATCTCAGCTCAGCACCCACGGGAACCTTGCCTTTCTCAGCACATGCAGGGCTGCTGCCCTGGTGGCTCTGACCAACTTTTCGCCCCAAAATCAAAATCACCCTCATAAAAGCAAGACTTGCTCCTATTACAATCTAGTCCCAGGTTAAGGGGCGATCCTATCACTGGACAGCAGGCAGTGAGTAGATGTCTATTTTAAACAACCAGTGAGTCAACCCCTCTGGCAATGTTGGTGTACCTTTGGAAAGAAGGGAAGTGAATTATCAAGCACCACATGTTCATGTGGAGCATAACTTCACTAAATGGAGAAAATACTTGGTCTTCCACACACACACACACACACACACACACACACACACACACACCTACCTATATAGAAATGATTAGTTTCATTCCTTGATCTGACCAAAGTTTTACCTTAAGTCCAGTCAGTAAGAGAACCGTGACTCTGCTTCTCCTTGCCTCCTGTCCAGGATCCCTCTTAGCCTCAACAATGACTAAGGCATCCACCTTAATAAAAGCACGACTGACATTCCTTATTTACAAAGACAAAAAATTAGAAACATCTGCAGCCTTTTCCAGATCTCATCTCTTGATCTGAAAACATTGCAGGTGGGTATTTTCTTCAGCTACTCAAAGACTGAATCATAAGGTCTAAGGCAGTGGTTCTCAACCTTGGCTGCACATTAGAATCACCTGGGAATCTTTTTAAAATCCTGATTTCTGGGCCTCATCCTCCGGAAATTCTGTTTCTTTGTTATGGGCAAGCGCCACAACATTAGTAACAAAGAAACAGAATTTCCGGAGGATGAGGCCCAGAAATCAGGATTTTAAAAAGATTCCCAGGTGATTCTAATGTGCAGCCAACGTTGAGAACCACTGGTCTAGACCAGTGGTTGGCAAACTCATTAGTCAACAGAGCCAAATATCAACAGTACGACGATTGAAATTTCTTTTGAGAGCCAAATTTTTTAAACTTAAACTATATAGGTAGGTACATTGTTATTAACTTAATTAGGGTACTCCTAAGGCTTAGGAAGAGCCACACTCAAGGGGCCAAAGAGCCGCATGTGGCTCGAGAGCCGCAGTTTGCTGACCACCGGTCTAAACTCTAAGGAAAACGGTGACTCATACATGACTAAGCTGTAGGCTACAGGTAAGACGAATGAATGGTGAAAGGTTTCCGTAAGAGAACATCTAGTAACATTTCCAGCAATAGCAGCATGTCAGAATTAACAGCACCTTGAAGATCAAGTATTCTGAGGGAATCACAATCAATAGGAAGTTTTTCTCTTAGAATCGGCCAAGTTACTTTCTCATCACTCAATCCCCCTTCTCTTTACATTCTGAGGGCACTGGGGCACCTCACCAACCTCCTGCATGGAGGAGAGGCCAGAATCTGTTAGAATTGAATGCTGATAACTGGTTAAAAAATACCTTTCACAACAAAGTTTCTTTATGGACTCTATACTCATTTCAAAAATTTCTTCATCTATAACTTCTTAACCCACTAAATTTGGTTTCTAATTCCATCGTTCACAGAAATGGCTCTTTATAAGGTGGGCAATGGTCGGCTGTCCACCCAACAGACACCTCCTTGGTGTGATGCTGGGCTCCATTAGCCACCTCTTTCCTTTTCAGTCAATTTGAACTCTCCTGTCCCTTGTCTGCTTCCCTCTCCACTACTCCATCTTGGTCAATCTCCTTTCTAATGTCTTCCTTGGCCAACTTTAAAAAGCCTGGCCTGTTCTGTCCTGGGCCTGTTTCTTCTCTCACTGGACGTGCTTTCCAGGGAGGTCACTTCCTCCACCGCCACCCGCCAAGGTCCCTCACATCTTTGCCTCCAGCATACAATTCTCTTCAGATCTGCATACCAGTACGTTCGTGTTGCTACAGGACTTTTCATCTTCCCAGACCTCTTTTTGTCTCTGTACATCTGACCTTAGCCAGTGGCACTATTATATATTCAGTTACTTCAATCAGAAACCTGGAAACCATCCTCAGCACCCACTTCCTAGTTGTGAGACCTTGGCGGGTAACTCAACCTCTCTCACTCTCCGTTTCCTCATCTGTAAAAGGCGTGGAAGGGTTACTGTGTGAGATAATGGAACTAACACATGTAAACTGCTTCCTAGTAGCCTGGTGTCTGGCACAGAGGGACTCCCCACTGCAATCAGCTGTGATTATGTGTCTGAGCAGAGTGGGCTGGAAAAGCCTCTGCCAGCCTCCCCTCCTCCCCTGGAGTGTCACAGGGCCAGAGGCCGGGGGTGACAGCAGCAGGCTGAGAGCTGTAGGCAGGTGCCCTGAAATCCATGCACGGAGCTGGATTTGGTGAGTAGGGACCCCGAGTGATAAATTCCCCTTCAGATCAGTTCACAGGACCTGGGATCTGCTCACCACATCCACACGCAGGTGGTCACATTCTGCTCCCAACATGCACAGATGAACAAGGATTCATCGTGCAGTTTGTCCTCAGAAACACCCTCCATTGTGTGCACATCACCCTTACCAGGCAATGGCCTCCCTTCCTCCTCTCCAGTCACTGTTAGGTAATACACTTCAGTTGAGTGTATCTCACTATGAAATTTATTACATGCAAATTTAATGTACCCTGTGTGATAGAAAGAACCTGGGTTTGGGGATTGGCAGACTGGCTGTGACTCTTACTAAGTGTGTGGCTAACATCTTTCTTACAGGGTTGTGTGTTAAATTATATAACACGCTGTATAAAATACAAAGTATGCCTTTGAAATGGGAGGTTCCTTCTGTTCTCTTATACCCACAGAATCACATATTCCTAAAGTAACAGGAAGTCTGGGTTTTCCTTTTCCTTTACTCTTGGACAAATGAGCTCCTTAGCTCCTATGTAATTCCATGTACTTGTCTACAGAACAGGCGTAATTCTTCTCTTACCGCTTACTTCCTTGGGTTCTGGAAGAATTAATATATTTTGTGCACTGTACAGGCTGCTATGGCAACGAAAGCCCGGCGGACCACATCTAGCCCTGACATACTAGAATGAGAAAGACCAAATTCAGCAGAGACGCAGGGGAGCAAACACACATGCTTGTTGCTGGTGGCATTGCAAATTGGCTCAGCCTCTCAGAAGAGAAACTGGCAGCATGTTTGTCCCTTTGGACTTACTGATTCCACTTTGGGAAATACTACATCCTAAGGAAATTACACCTGCTCCTTCCCCTTGCTCCAAAAAAGACATTTACAAAATTATTCAAAATAAAGAAGTGAAAAACCTATACATCTTTAAAGGGACTGGGGCACCTTAACACAAAAAGATGAGGAAAAAATGACAGGTGGGTGGCCCCTGTGGATGTGTTCCTATGTGAAAGTGTGTGCAGTCCTCTTCCCTGGGAATGGGAATAATGAGGATGTGCCAGGAGTTAATGGGTTGTTGTATGAAGAGCACCTAGAACAGTGCCTGGCACATTGGAAACACTCACTAAATGTCACTCATTGTAATGATGATGATGATGTCACCCAAAGTGAAAGGACTAAAAGCAGGGTACAAAGCAGCACGTACTATTGGTTAGAACAATGATATCAGATACTCATCATTTCTGGGCTAGAATCCAGAGGGATGGGATGATTTAGTGTCTGTAGTTTCCTTCTGTTCCCCCCACTTTGAGATACAATTGACCTAGACCACGGTGCCACTTTAAAGTGCAGAGCATGTTGCTTTGATACACTTATATAGGCCATATGGTCACCACTGTGGTGTTAGCTAAAACACCCGTCATGTCTCATAATTACCATTTCCTTTTTGTGGTGCGAACATTTAAGATCTACTCTCTTGGCAATTTTTTTCTTTTTTATTGAATTTATTGGGGTGACATTGGTTAATAAGATTATATAGGTTTCAGGTGTACAATTCTATAATACATCACCAGTATGTTTATCACCCCAAGTCAAGTCTCCTTCCATCATTTATTCCCCTTATACCCTATCCTCCCTCCCCCCACTGCCTTTTCCCCCTACTAATCACCATACTGTTGTCTGTGTCTATGAGTTGTTGTTTTTTTCTGCTTAATCCTTTCAAGGATTTTCACCCAGCACCGCCCACCCTCCACAGCTATCAGTCTGTTCTCTGTGTCTAAGAGTCTGTTTCTGTTTTGCTTGTTAGTTTATCTTGTTCATTAGATTCCACATATAAGTGAAATCATATGGCACTTGTCTTTCTCTGATGTATTATTATCTATAATCACCATGCTGTGCAGTAATTCCACAGAACTTACTCATCTTCCAACTGGAAGTTTGTACTTTCTGACCAACAGCTCCCCATTTCCCATCTCGCAGTAACCACCATTCCACTCTCTCTTTCTGTGAGTGCCATAGGTTCCTTTTTCCCTTAAGTTCATAATAGATCGAAAAAGAAATGAATGAACAAGTATCTCCAAAACAAACTGGCACTTGCTCTGAAGACAAGTTTAGTGATTTCTGTGAAATAATTCTCTGGATGCACGGCCATTGATTAACTTCTAAGTAAACCAACAGGCCCCAGAGGCCCGGGAGGGCTGGAAGACCAGCCCTGCTGGCTGAGCAGCTGAACTGCCTGCACGTCGCCCAGGCCTCACCGAGGTCCAGCTGAAGTCCCAGATTCTGTCCATTCCACCGCGCTGCACAACACTCTGTGGCTTCCCCAAATTAGAGGTTTCACCCAACTTGCCACATGCTTCCTGTGTAATTCAGTGGCTGAACACGTCCCTGGTAATGATTCTATTTCTAACCCAGTGGGCAGGACGACCTCATATTCTCGACAGAGGTCTGCCTTGAGCCTGCAGGATAAGATGTGCATCAAATATACCAGGATACTAGGGAATTCCACATGGAATTTAATTGGGGCCCTTTGAGAGGGGGGTGAGGGTGGGGGATGGGGTGCGATGCTGGCATTTAAAAAGCAGGCCTTGGTCCAAGGATACCTTCTTCTCCCGACGCGATCACTGGTGGCCCCTGTCAGCATTCGCCCCTTTTCACCCATTACCATGCTGCCCTGGGCTGAGGTCCTTCCCTAGTGCAGAGCCTTCCAACGGCTTCACTTTGCACTTAGATTATTATCTAAATTCCTCATCCTGGACGGCTCTTCCCTTCCCCCCTCACTACCTAAATCCTGTTCATCTGTCAGGTCTCAGTGTGTGTCACTTCCTCAGGGAAACGGCCTTGGTCTAGGCTAGAACTGTCAAACATTCATCCTTCACTTTTGTGTCACACTCAATGCTCATGTAATTACTTGCCCCATATTCATTTCCCCCACGGGATTCGGAATTCTAGGCAAACAGCTGTGTCTGAATCATGCCCCCTGTCCTTACCCAGTACCAGGCACAAAAATATTTGTTGGATGTTTGGCCATATAAATGAGTAAGTGAATGAATAGTGAATGAATGAATAAACACTGAAGGGAGAAGACCAAAGGGCTTAGTCCCTCCCAAATTAATGACGAATCTGGAATTTCCGCATTAAGCAGGGAAGGTGTGATGGGGCGGACATTATCGGGAAAGTCTCTGAAATCACACCACGTCGATGACTTCGGGGAAAGGTCACGGACTTCTGCAACAAGCAGAGTGCACCCACGGCAGCCTGCAGGCTCCCCAACGCTCCAAGAACACTTACCTGCACTCTCTGTGTGGTTCTTAGTAGCTGGTGTTTTCATCATCTTCTCGCTGAATAAAAGAAAAAGAGAGTCAGCTATACAGTTTCCAAAATGCCTTTTTTCTTTGCCCCCCCTCCATTCATTATTCTAAGCAATGAGCAGCAGGTAGTGATGGTATCAAGCAATGAGGGGATTTTAGCATCAGCACCACGATTGGCCGGGATGGAAAAGGCTTCCCAGGTGTGCACTGACACTGCGGGTGGAAGACAGCAGGTGGGCACTCATGACTTTCAGAGGATGGCGGAGGTGGAGACGTGTGGACGGTGGCTGCAGGCACTGCGCAGTGGTCCATGAAGCCACATGCACTGGGAAGCCCATTTACCCTTCTTGGGCCAAAGGGTTACCTTCGACCAAGAATTACCAGAAGGAAAAAACAAACAAACAAACCATGATTCAGAGAGATGTAACTATTTTCAGCCTTGAAATGATTACAAGAAAACGGATTTGAATGAGTGAATTATCTTAATGATTAAAGAGAAACAGATGGAATTATTTAATGGGTTTGTTTCTTCTTTTTACCTAGATGCATCTTTGCTATTACTTGTTAGGGGCCCTTTAAAAAGCGCAGACTGAACAAGGCCAGTTAAACTGGCAATCTGTCTCTCCATGGCTTGCATCCTCTCTCTGTAAAACAAGAGAATTGTTTGTTAAAGCTTTATTGACTTGCAGACTGGTTCGTCTGGTGAATGATCACCCGAGGGTCATAAAAGCTACTACCTAGTAGGCCAGCAAAGTGCACCCGCCCGGCTCAGAGAACGTGAGGAGCCTGCCAATCCCTGCTGAGCTTGCGTCGTGATGGGAGTTTAATACTAACCCCAAGACCTCACTGAGAAGACGCTGTGCAGACCTGAGAGGCCTCCTGCGAAACTGGAAAGTGTCTCCCTCAGAAACAACTTTGCTTGCGTGGCGTGTTCTGGAGCCTTCCTGCCCTGCTTCTGCCATTTTACGTCTGGCACTGGCGGCGTCCTAGGCCAGCTGTGCCAGTGGCTCAGGCCTCTAAGCTGTGCTCCTCAGCGGGGGGACTGATGACCGGTTTTGGCATCAATGATGGGGATGTGTGTTGTGTGAGGTAAAACGTGTTTTATCGTCTGAGAGCAACACCAATGACTGTCTCTGAAGACCATGGAAAGATAGGGTTGAAATCAATGTCTGACTCTGGGGTGAATGGTGCTCAATCTAATGACACAGGAACTTTAGCCTGTGTTAAAGGGCTTCCACAGGAGCAAGCAGAAAAACAAATATCCCCAACATGAATGAACCCCAACTGTTTATTGTGCACAAATGCCGCACCTGTTCAGGCTCCCTAATGCTTCATCACAATTCGTTTGGCTCAAATATTTGTACCTCAGACAACGTCCGTTTCACAGAGCTATTACCATTATTTTCAACACATTAAACAAACAACATCACAAGTGGCTCCCTCTACTGGCAGAGGGCATCACACGTGACTGCAGGCAAATTCAGTTACGTTTACTTGGGAGTTTAAAACAATAAAGACAGGCAGGGGAGGGCAGCTTGAATAGCGGGGGCACCTTGCCGGCCTTTGTGCCCCATGCGCAGGTGTCCTAGTGTGAGCTTGAGACAGAGAAGGGACCCCACTCTTCACTGCGGTCTCAGTGCCGCCAACCTCTCCCAGTGTAAGCGACAATGCTGCCCGTGCTACACACTGCATACGCACACACTGTGGCTTTTACATAGCAGCCAACTACTTTATCTGCTACCCAGTAGAAATTGTGGTGGTCTGTTCTTTCCCTGGAAAACAATAACTGGTTAAGTTGGACTTACTGAGAGATGCTATATCTATATCTTAAAGTTCATGACAATCAAGCAGACTTTCAAGGGTAGTTTTGTCCATACACAACTTTTTGGCTTTGCCTTTTGCCTTTGGAATATAACCCTTATGAAACACGGAGTTTAATTTCACAATTACAAGCTTCTGACGTCAGCACTCCATGCATTTTCTTTCGTCTGTCACAATACTGAGTTTCTTGGATGAAAGTCATGCAGTCTAGGCAGTTCATGGTTGTAAACCCACTAAGGAAGAAGAAAGAATTTAAGCATGAATAGTATGATCTCTTTGCTCTGGGAGTGTGGAAAGGAGAAGTCTCGAGCAGTGAGTGGGAACGCATCTCCATCTGCATGCAGCGAGTTTCCAGGTGTGGCAGTGAATGCTGAACCCCTGGGCTGCAAAGCATTTTCAGTCACACCTATGCTCCTGGTCTCCTCTCTGTCATAGCAGAGCGCATGTGCCAAAGAGAAAATTTAGGAAGAAGCTACCCTCAAGAAAGCAGGTTAGTAAATACCTAATGGCTATCCCATGTTCATCAGACCCAAGTCGCTATGGCGTCTCAGAAATGATTGGCTAGTGGCTGATCATGCTGCCTGCCATGTGGGAGACTCACACAGTGGGCCCTTGGGAAATGAGTGACTTCCACAAAGACCCGCTGAGTAGTGGGTGACAGCTGTCCAGGGCCCCCGTTCTTCCCACGGTAATGCTGGAAGTCAAACTCATGACCCTTGGAGTCGAGCTACATTCAGAACCACCTCAAGATGTACTCGTTTCCCACTCTCATCCAATCCTAGGCAAATACAAAGCACTGCTTTCTTCTTTCTTTCTTCTTTTAAAAGCAGCATGACTTTTTTAGGGTCTAGACAGCTTTGGTGAGGAAGCGGCTTGAGGGGATCCATGAAGCTGGAGTGTGGAACAGGAAGGCATGGTCACCACATAACTGCAGACAGAGGACATCACTACTACATACGAAATGTAAGAAACAGGTAAGTCTATGACTAGAGAATAAATGAGAATCTGGTAAGAGGGAAATGGCAGAAGGGATTCAACATTGGCTCTAGGCACAGCCCTGATTAGGGCTAAATCACTGTTCTTTCTGAACCCTCACTGGCCAACAGGTTTCATGACCTTGTCTAAGAAAGGTCAGCGTAGCATTAAAAACCAAAACAAAGCACCTGGGCCATTCCAGATTCAGGGTATTGATCTGCAACTGATCCATCACAGCGATTGGAATCGCACAATGTTACAGCACAGGCGGGGTGGTCTCCACACGAGCATCCATAGAGCGGCATTTCCTTGGCTCAGCGGGTACTTGGCTCTTTGGTGCGCTTCCTCAGACAATGGTTTTAGGATGCAGAGGAAGACAACCCACAAATCCACACCCCTCTTCTTACTCCCTAGGGATCATGTCCACATAGCTACAGAGCTTCCTGGGGTCAGGGTCTGGATGCTTTGAAGGAAAGGCCCTAGACCAGGGGTGGGCAAACTTTTTGACTCGAGGGCCACAGTGGGTTCTTAAACTGGACCGGAGGGTCAGAACAAAAGCATGGATGGAGTGTTTGTGTGAACTAATATAAATTCAAAGTAAACATCATTACATAAAAGGGTACGGTCTTTTTTTTTTTTTTTTTTTAGTTTTATTCATTTCAAACGGGCCGGATCCGGCCCGAGGGCCGTAGTTTGCCCACGGCTGCCCTAGACTCAGGCCTGGTATCACACCCTTGGTTCTCCTTTTTGTATCTGTGAGGCTAGAAGAAAGTGCTCCCTGGGTGGCCTCCTCTGTGCTATGCCACCAGCTGGGCCCCAGAAGGAAGACAGGATCTTTCAGAACCTCCAGAGTTCAGAACACTTGAGCTGACACCTGAGGGGAGCAATTCTCTCCCATTGCCCAGGTAGCAGTGTGTCCTGCACGTGGCTGAGGCGCTGACTGCACACGCGTGTTCCACTGCCTCGGCCAAAACCACGTTACAAAAATACAATTTTTCGACACATGGAAATGAGAAAACTTTTCCCCTCCTATTTAATCATCAAAGTGTTTCTGGTTTCAGGATTCATTTGAGGGAGATTATCTGATTTATAAATTCATAAATAAGATTGTCTTTCCATTTCATGGTTGGTAATCTGGAAACAATTTTATGGTTTAACTAAATTACAGCAACTGGAAACTTATGCAGCCTTTGCCCATGATGAAATGTTATGAAGTATGTTTTAATGTGGAAGGGGGAAAAAGTGAAATGCAGTGAAAGAAGAGAAATTATATATGACCCTCTCATTTTATTGCAGGGACAATTTTGTATAATAATCATCAAAATATTAAAGATGCTTAAGCTAATTCTTGCCAATATCGCTTGGTTTAAGGTATTACACGATTGGTATAATTACTGTTGAAAAAATGGTTTAAAAGTGATTTCATAAACCATTTTCTATCATTCCATAAACCATATTTATGGGATTAGTATATATGGTTAACTAGTCATTTAGCACAGTAAGTCAGCCTGGATGAATGAATGTTTTCAGGGCCCAACCATAATATTAATAAAAACTCAAGTCCAAATCCAGGGAAAGTGCTGATCCCAGTATTGAAATTCCTGCTGCGACAATGGGCTTTCCTGCAAGCACCTGTCTGTCTGTGAAGACATAGCAAAGCCTACACTGCTCACAGTCTGCTCTGTTTTCAGAGTAGAGGGACGGAAAAATGTGCATTTGAGGGAATATTTTTAGTCAGTAACTCCATTTATACAACGTTTTTGATTCAAGTTTTCACCTCTAACATTTTTGACCATGGACTTGCCTTTGTTCTGAGCCCTCATTACTGAGTTAAGTCCTTATCATTGCCTATCTGAGTAAATTAATGGCTATTAAAGAACAAGTCAAGGCTGTAACAAGTCTGAGACTGGTAATTCCCCTGTAATGAAGCCCTTAGGCTATGTTTTTAAAGATCCTAAACAAATGCTGGGGATCTAGGTGAAACCAGCCAAGGGAGCTGATAGGATTGCTTAGGCCCCCAGTCAGGGGCATTCTCCTCCCTAACCAGTTACTAACGTTGAAACCTAGTGGTGCAGGACAGCCAGTAACAATGATTGTAACCAGGGCTGGCATTCTGAGAGTACTTTCTAGGTGGTCCATCAATTCACTTCTAGTTCTAACATTGTCTGATTTGTTTTTTGCTCTGGCTCATTCCTCTACCCCCAGAAAGGGACAGTCAATGAGTCCTCAACAAATGTTTTTGAGCACTTAAGTTGTGCTACACGCCACAGTGAAAGCTGCTGTGGACACAGCAGCGATAGAGTACCATCATTAAGCAGTACCTTCCTTTCACAAAGTCATTTTTTTTTCTGGGAGAAATCTCAGTGAATTAAAGCCCAGTGCCAAAGGCATTTCCCAGAACTGAATAGTGAACAGGTTTCAAGTTGTTTGCTCATGCCCTGACTCTCTGGTATGAAGGGAAAAAAACCAAAGTAATTGAAGACACTATTTTCAAATGAGTTCAACAAAACACTGGAATTCAAATGATCTGAACTTGTGATACAGCTTCAAAGAGGACTCTGAGCAGCCAGCTTTCTATTTTTGCCAGCACTCTAACCTATTGGTGAAAGAACTATATACTAAAGACATTCTTCCAAAAACTTCCAACAAATGTTAACTTTTCATTCAAGCATCCAGATGTATTGAGGCAATATTGATGGAGTTGATGGTGACTACAATGGGGCTACAATGTTCTGTGCGCATTAATGTTGTCCCCCTACCACTGCATGCCTTTAAAGATAACGACCGTATCTTGCACGTTTCTTGCATGTACAAACATTAGATGAGGACTGAATACACACAGGGTCAT